GCAGCTTCTTTGCTACATCTATATATGTGCAGTCAAAGGTATTAATAAGAGAGCAAGACTCACAACAAGAAGCTTTTCAATTCTTCATACAATCAATACCTTGAAGTGGTTAAAAAGAGGGCTCTTCACACTTTCTAGAGACATGCACCCTTCAGACACAGCGTAACATTAGATATCTGCTGTCAGACTCCATTCCTGAGTTCAGACACATAGCAGAAGCTCAGTGCTCCTGCTACTCTCAACTGAAGGTGTGAGGCACAGAAGTCAAAGAAAGGAGAAAGTGCAGAGAGGATGGGAAAAATCCAAGCTGAATCAGCTTACTGAAAAAGCTCAAAGCCATGGTACTCTCATTCTTTCTCCTCTCAGACTTTTCATTTCCGACACCCTTGTTGAGAGTGTGCCTCAGAGAACCCATGTTTTATTGTTCTCATGAAGCTAATTCAGTGAACTGTAAATGCAAATGAATAATTGAAAGCTTGTTAGTGTTTGGAAAAGTTGGATGTTGCTAGTCTTTTTGCCCTCTATTCATTTCCACTATACCTTTTTTCATAACACAACTGTAGCATCTAGTTAGCTTTTAATAATAGCTGTGTAGTCAGTTCTTTCACAAAAAAACAGATCACATTTCTTCATTCTTTTAAGGCCAAAATCAGGAACAATATCACAATATTCCAGATTCAGGAACAATATCACAATATTCCAAATTCAGGAGCAATATCACAATATAAATCAAATTTAACTGTCAGAATTCTCAAGTTGTGGAATTTAAAAAATGGAAATAGTAATGTTTTTCTTACGATTATCATGAATTAGCTTGGATGAATGACAAAATGGTAGAATTAGAAGTGTCCAAATGGTTTCAAGCTAAATCTATCCATTTCATAGTTAGAAACATGTACTTACAGACATCTTTATTTTCACTTAGGTTTAAGATATAAGTCCATATACTCTATGCACACAGTAACTCTTAAATTTATATCACATTTCTTCAAATACTGTTTTCAAAATTTATTTAAAGCAAAATTTTATATATGGAAATACTTAAATGCTTCTATGTTACTCAGTTGCTAGACATCTAGAAAATCTATTTTTAATTGCACAACTTGCAATTACTTCAAAATACAATTTTATGCATTAACCTTTTCTACTAGTTCATCTTAAACATGAAGTTAGGTAAAAAGACATAACTAAGTGACCAGCATGTAAATAGTCTCAGCTCTGGGTCATCAATAAGAATTTTCAGTGACTAGTTGGCCACTGACAATTAGAAGTGCCACTTCTAATGATTTAGTTAACTTAGGGAAAATAAACCCCAGAAAGACAACACTCCAACATGCTGTGTATGACCTTTATTCTTATCTTTCACATACTGAGAATACTCTCTTAGCTAGATTCCACCTATTTTGTATTCACACATTGCTAACAGAATTATTTATAATAACAAAATTCTAAGAAAATAATTTCAGGTTCTTATGATTAGACAATTATCATTAGCTACAAAGTATTAGATGACTACAACTCCTCAGCTAGGTCACTACATGCATATTCCATTTGATTCAGCATAAATGTCACATGCTCCTTCACTCAAGATCTCGGCTATAATTTTAGTCTTAAGAATTAGCTCTGAATAAAATTAAAGAAAAAAAAAACAAACCAACAACACGAGCTTTCACAATTTTTAGAAGCTAAATCACATTCCCCAAATATTTTAGTCTGAGAGAAACACTGGTTTTTTTGGGAGGTCTAGTTATTACATATAGTGAGGTATGTAGATCAGGAAATACGAATGATGTCAAAATGATATATGGAATAAAGTTTGCAATTTCTGTGTCAGTACAAGATAAAGAAAAAAGTGATTTTGATACTTTTCTTGAATTATATGCATTACACTTAATTATTAACTAGCATTTATTGCCTCAATATGAGGGTGGAAGGACTCCTGTTTGATCTTACCTTATACTGCTGCACATTAGAAGATCCTGGCTTTTCCTGCCTCACAACCAGCTGAATCCCGAGGCACTTCTTTCAATTGCCCATGGCATACACAGGCAGCAAAATAATGTATGTATGGTGTTCTACAGCTGGAATAAATTAGTAGCACATGGAAATTTCACCTATTGACTTTTGCTTATATAGCTTATATTTTCTTTTTCTCCATTTGTACTTTGTGGGAAAGCCGATATGAATCTTGGTGCTTTGGTCTGCCTAAGCTAAAGATGTGCATACACCTCTACAGTGCAAAGTCTCTGATCATGACTTTGACAGGGTCATTGTGAAAGGAGTCAGAATTTATCCCCACACATAGTTTCATATAGCAATAGGTGTGAGAGCACTGCTGGAACAATATTCATTGTGATACAAAAATTTAATAAAGAAGAAAGATGTTTTGATTTCTTTCAGTGATCCATATAATTATTCAGCATGAAGAATACATCTGTTAAAACATTCAGCAGTACCTGGCCTGTTGATAGCAGCAGACTGCTGCTTTCTTTGCAAGAATGAGACAACTGTGATTTCTGCTCTACCTGCTGCCCACCTCCATTGCACTTGCCACAGCATCGGTTTTATTAGTAATGTAAGTATCTAATACACAGGGAAGCATTTTCTCTTTAGCTGTTGTGGGTCTCAGGAAAGCTGTCTGAGCTAGTCAGCTCTCAATCACTTCAAGTGAGATCTAGCTTTGATCTCCCTATTCTTGAAAAAGAAAAATTGAAAGTGCTGACATAAAAAGATTAGATCATATTAAACTGAATCAAAGCAGTGTCAGCTTTACTACTTCCTAGAAAAAGGCCAGGAAAGCAATATTCTTACCTAAATTGGATTTAGACAGATCTAAGAGTTCAACAGTTCCAGTAAGAGTCAAATTCAACTCCCTAATTTATGAGATTTCAGACCCAGTGGTTCAGATTTCACAAGGACAAGCAAGCTCAAAAGGTGCCCAGTTCCTCTGCTGGAAATCCCAATATACATCTTCCACTACCCTTCATGGCTGAACCAAACCAGAGAAATAAGCTCTTTCTTTCCAGGAGAAAATTCTGTACAGAAATTTAATATGCAGACAGATTCAAAATGACAATTCATGAGGTTTGCCATCCTGTCCACTACTACAATTACCCCGTCACCTTCACCTGAATTTGTGATGTTTTGATTTAAGGTTCAGACCTACAGTTTATTTTTGTTCACATCATTCTGTAACTGTATGAAATTTAAAATAGGGCCTGAGACAATCTTCTGAAAGTTTAGCATAAGCTCTTCTTTTGCCTTAGACCATGAAATAATCCCTTAAAAATATGAATATAATCTCCCCAGTTTTGGTGTTCAGCATTTCAGATATTCAGTTGATGTTGTAATTTTGAGCTTAAATCTAGTTTATCATGCAGGGTGAAGGGCACACTTTCATAGCCAGAGAAATTTCCAGTTGAAACAAAATTAAACTTTCCTAACAAAAATCTCACAAGAGAAGTTATTGGTTAGAGTCCTCAGTTGTGTTTCATTCCAAATCCAGAGATGTTAAGAGATACTTCTGTGTGACTTATGAATTCAAGGATTCTTGCATCATTAACATATAAATGATCATTCCCATCCAGACTCCTAGTTTAGTAATTTATTTTGATAAATAAATAAAAGAAATCTTCAAAATACTTTTGTTGAAATTTGCATACTTACAGGAATGTTGCAAGTCAAGGAAAGGGAAAATATCCTCTGAGACAGAACCTAGTACACTGGCACTCAATTAGATTTTGACCTTCTTCACTCATTAAGGATTGGTAGACAGACATTGTTTGCTACTTGCCTGAATGAAATTGGGTCTCCTGAGATGCATATGAAGTAATTTAAAAAAAGAAAAACACTGTTAACTGAATCTACTCAACCATCACTCTGAAGCAAACCTTATTTACTGTATTAATCTATTAAACTAATATAATCTTTCATATTTTAATCAGAAAAAAATGACATTTAATTAGTGTTACACAGTCAAGTCTTAAAAAAGCTCCCCTATCTGAGCATTCAGCTAGGCTACCATTTTTCAGCCTCACCACCATGAGTCTTGTATGCTTTTATGCTTCCCTTGGTCTAAGCAAACTGCAGGACTGTTTTATTAATTCAACTCCCTGGTACACTTTCTCAGCAGGAATAGGCACTCTTCAGAATTTCACACAAATGAGACCTTTTGGCTCAGCTGCCTTACATACCAAGAACTGGCACCATCTCCTTTCCCAAAACCCCAAACTTCTTGTGTATATTTCATTATTTTTTTAAGGACTTGTGATGGTTGACATATTAATTTGTAAAAACCAATCAAAAACCAAAGACAATCAATCATAATATCATCAATCTACAGACCTAGACATATCAAGAAAAATAAAGGAAAAAAAGCCCAAACCCATATGCACATGTTCTTACCATACCTTCCCCTTTTTTTTTTTTTTCCAACTAAGCAAGAGCTGCAGAAATATTCTCCTGTGGAATGGTTTCAGACTAGGAATCAGAGATCCGTGGCTGTTCCTTGTATACACGGTTTCTCCCACCCTGAGATGCTGACATTAAGCAGGATACTTCTATGCTGATGTACTCCTGCTTCTGCCCAAGTTTCCTGCATGTGCTTTCTTTTTTCTTTCACCTCCACTACTTCTCTTACACTCTGCTTTGTAATGTTGGCCCTTTTTTTGTTCTAATAGAGGACCTTAGAAACTTTTCACTCCCAGCCTCATGCAGAAATTAAAGATAACTGTTTCCACATCAAACATGGTCATCCCATTGTGCTGGTATTTCTACCAGGATGGTGGCTGTTGGGGGCTTAATGGTTCTTAGGTGCTTTGGATCTTGAGGAGCCTGGCAGAGTTCTGATGTTATGCAGCAGACTGTGTATACCAAGCCATTCTAATGATAAAGCAGTTTCATATGCTCACTAACTCTGACCCATATGTACATGCAGACAAAGCCTGTAAATCTTCAGGTTTTTATTTATTTTTCAAGGATTTAATTTCATCTTGATAGAAATAGGCAAAATGAATTTCTGACTTTAAAAAGCATAATGGGCAAAAACCACAGCAACAAATCAAACCTCAATAAACAGTCATCTGAGTGAGCTTGCAAAGCCTAAAACACAAATATGTGTTTTTTAATATTTCATCATTGTACAGCAGGGAATTATAGCAGCAGCACTGCAAAACTGGCCATTTAAAATCAAATTCTTCCATCTCCAAGTACACTTTCTTCTCCCCTGCCCACCGAAAATCGTATTGTAGCAATTAACTTCTAAGTCACTGGTTCTTTAATTTCAACTCTTTGACAGCGTAGTCCAATAAAAGTGGCATCAGCTAACTTCACAGGAGACTTAAAGGCTTGGTTTGGATGAGGCAGCCATTTACTACCAAAAAAATTTTATATTTTTTTTTCTTATAGCACAACATGCAAGGAGTTTTTATGCATTAAGTGTTCACTTCTTTTACACAAGTATAGGTTGAAGGCTGTGCCCTTGTCTGAAGTATCCAGCATCGTAATATATTTATTGAGAAGTTTATTGATCAATGTCTGAATGCTTATCTTATTTCCTTTAACATTCCCATTAAACATTCTTCTCTTTTTGACTTTTTTTTGGAAAAAAAAAATGAGAAAAACAAAATAGGTCATTAAAATATACTTGAGAATACTTTCAGCAGCAACCCACAGGCATAAGGGAAAACTCATTGTCAAGTATGATCTATAGAAACTTGTTAAATATACTTAAGATAACTGGGAGGCAGACTAGTACACTAATAACCTCTTTAACATAAAGCCTTATGGAATACAGTGCATCCTTTATACAATAAAAAGGCTAATTTAGCTTGTCACAACACAGAGCTGAATTAATAGGGAAGCCAAAAGGCTCTCGATTTGTGTTATTAAATACAAATATTGGGTGACAGCCTAGCTACTGCTATCATTCAGTGTTTTTTTCTTGACTTGTCATGTAAAAATTAGATATTAAATGTGCATGCGAGAGAGTACTGTACCCAAATCAATGCAGTCACCACAAAAAAAAATCTGCTATGCACTGACATTTCAGATCATTTTTTTCCTCTGCATTAATTAGGCCATTTATATTTAAAAATTCCAGTTAATTTTTACCTTTTGGCAGATTTTTGGTCTGCATATAACCAGTTTCTTGTTTAACCAAGAACCGGTACCATTCCTTCTGGCCTTCAAATGCAAATTCACCTCTGCTTCTATTATTTGTTTCTCATACACAAATTGCTCACAGCTGAAAAATTATTGCATGTAACTTGTGTGTATATGTACATGCAAACATACACACACATATATGTGCTGCTGAAGCTTTATCCTGTTCTGAGCCTAGAGTGCAAGGTGGTCATGATGCTCAACAGGAGATCCTGGTGAAGAATGTGAGACTCCTTGCTGCTGTGTAGCAAAATTAATGAATACCTGTAAGACATGAGAAAAAGTAGGATTTTCAAAATAATAGTACTCGAATTTAATCTTTGGGGACATAGGTGATGATATTTTTCAGTTGCTTTCCTAAGCTTTTGCTTATTAATTAATTGCTTATGTTGAGGGAGCCCATCTAGAGATATGTTTTGTAAACTAGAAATAATCCCTCTTCACCTCTCCAGCTAAGACAAGGATTAATAAATTATAAAAATAGTGGTAAAATGTGTTATTGAGATATGAAAATTATTTTTTATTGCTGCACAAGTTAGTGTGAAACAATGGTTTTAATTGCCTTTGAAATGACATAGCTAAAGAAGCCAAATCTGTTGTTTCTGTCAATAATCATCACAGATAAGGGTTCAAATATTTCAAGGTGAAAACACACTTCTGAAGATTGCAGTGATGATTGAACAACTAATGTGTCTCCTTGAGTGGTTGTTGTTTTTTTTTTAAAACAGATCTTACTATAGAAAGGCTTGTTTCCTTTTTAATCACACAATTATTTGACAGCAAGGAATGTAGAGGGAAAGGGCTATTTTTTATTCAAATGATCCTATTGATATGCAAACAAACTCAGGGTGCATGTTTGTTACAGGGGAGGACTATTTTCCTGTTTAAAACTGATACTCAGTCTGGGAGAGAAAGCAAGGGTGGGTGACTGAGGTGATGCATCCTCATGAATAATGGAGGAAGTAAGCTTGAGTGAACAATGCCTGAACAATCAACAGGCTGTAATTGCCAGTATATGAGTCCATTCAGTGAACAGATAATTTACAAGCAGTTAGTAGATCAGGACAGATAAGTTCTTCAATAAAGTACTTCAATAATGATTTGTGCACGGGAAAAAGGAACAAGTTCACACCACCAATCGTAGAAAACCAGTATTTTGACTATATGTGACTCTCATGTAGTATGCACACCAAGAAGTTGTATGTGAAGATGCTGTAACACATCAGGATCACCCAGAAAACCCATCCTTGCCATCAATGTGTTCTTCTCTTTATCAAAATGGGGTTTCACAGTTTTTAGTGTGGAATCTCTTCTGTCTCCTTGTGCACTTAAAAGCCTTAAAGGAAAATGTTCTGAAAATTTAAGGTTTACCACGATTTACAGAGATTGGTTCAGCCTTTTCAAGGACACTGGTAAGATCCCAACTCTTGGATTGTGGAGGTGGCAGTTCACAGTCCCCCTTTTTCATGCCACACATCTAAATGTATCTAAGCACAGATTATGTTTGTGCACACTACATGTGACTTACTGTGATGCTATTACTGTGCTCACCTCCAGTGCAAAAGAAATATAAAAGCAGAAATTACTGTGTGACCTGAGATGGCTTGGAACTGCTGGCTTATTGCATATATTTGGGTATCCTAGCAAATAACAGATTATTCTACTACATCAATAACTGCTGTATGCAGCATGTTTAGGCCAAAAAAAAAAAATGGAGGCGGGGAGGGGGGCATGGAAAGAAAAGAGAGAAAAATAATAAAATACCTGCTCTAATGTGGTTTGGCTAATGGAATAGTGTTTGATTTGGAGAAAAACTTTGTGATTCTCTAGGACTCTGAAGAGCTCTGCTAAACATCCCTGACTTCGTGGTACGTGGTACTCAAGCAGATTGAGATGTTGTCCCTGAAAACAAGTAAAAATTATCAAAACAGATAAAAGTGAATGCACATCATTGGTTATAATTGGTCTAGCTACAGTGGGCTCTTATTGCAGATTAACAGAGAAAATATGATCTTTTAAAAAAGAACATATGCATTGGTAGCACAAAGAACTGCTCATAGTCAAAGCACAAATTTTGTGCGTGTTCTGAGATGGCACTTTGTTAATCTCATAAAAGATATAAAAATTTAGGACAATTTTAAGCTACAGGTTTTTCATCCAACAGACTACTGCTGTTACAATGCAGTCTGGGAAAAGGCTGAGCACAGAGCTGGCTGAGCACAGTACAGATTTATAAACATATACACAAACAGGTTCGTATTTAAGATAGTTGTTGTTTCCCATGATTCTTGTCCTAAACACAGTTAAAGTTTAAAATAAAAAATAAGAATTAATGGCCTTTCAGAGTTTTTCTTGAAATGTAGTTGCTATAGATCTTTTGTAAGGCTTTGTATTAAATCAAAGAATCTCAATAAATGCTGAGACTTATTATTTCTGGACCATTTCAGAAAGCAATCAAAGCAAATACTCTCAGTAACTACACTGTAATCCTACTTCAGGAGAACACAAATGTGAGTTCAACTTCATCAATAATAAAAGCAAAAGGAAATTTTCACTCAGAGAAAGGGCTTTTTTTTTTACATTGCCTAAATGCCTGTTTGGAGTTGATTTAACCAATATCACATTTCAGATTTTTTGAAATGCTTAAAAGAAAAATAAAAGGGATATTCATATGTACTTTTCCCAAGAAGATCAATATAACCAATCATGTAAATATCCAAACATGGATATACTGTTCTTACCAGCCCAAACTTAATCCTGCCATATACTGCAACAGGGAGTTTTAGCTGTACCTTAAACTGTGTTCCAGGAAAGTGCAGTTGTAGGCAGTCCAAAATAATTCTTCGATAGCTTGTTTCTTTGCTAAGCCAAACCTTGACTGAATAACCATCTCCAAACCTGAGAATGAGACACAAAAACATAAGTTCATTTGTCTACACTGTGAGGGCAGGAAGAACATTTAGTTTTATTGATTTTCCTATGACTATGTCAAATGACATCATGTATGCCTACTGCATTATTGTGATTTTAGCATTACATTATTGAATCATAGAATTTCAATGAAAAATTGTTAAATTAATAAGTGAAACAAAAAAAGTGTTATGCCTACATTTTAGTAACTACGAGATATTTCACTGTCCAATACACCTGAATTTATATTAACTATGTTTTAATTGCTATACCGCTTTGAGTCGTCAGCAAAAAGTTACGATTACCAATCACATATACAGAAGAAAACAAACAAAAAAACCTTTCTAATGAGAAAAATGGGTATGTAGTTCTATTTTTCATATCTGTTAACAAAACTACACATTCAAATTCAGATTTCGTCAATGTGACTGCAACTATGTTTTACAGATAGGCAAAGGCAAGTATAGGGATATTTAGGGAGGTGGAAAAGTTAACAAATTTTCTTTGGCTTTATGGTCATGCAACCTCTCAGAATACTTTGGGAAATGAACTTCTCTTTCTCAACACTCCCACATCTGTCACTCCAGGATGACTTCCTTTTTTTCATTCTCCAGTTTTGCCATTACTCATTGCCAAATCCTTTACTCCAGTTGTTTGGTTTCTAGTGAGTACCCTCTGTAAGAATCCCTTGTGCCAAAACCCTCCTCTCCCATGTCTTTTCTGTGTACAACTTGTGATTCAGGGCAGCAGCTGGGTTAATTGGGTCTGACCTGTGTGAGGCACATTTTCACATGATCAAAGCAGAAGGATGTATCACAGCACGCTATATGATTGTGCCCTATTCCTATATATAAATAGAAAAAGCTACAGATTATCGATCAAAAGGTAATAAAAGATAGAAAGAACAATTCTGCTATATATGTCCAGTTTAACCAGTGCCTGAGTGGCTCCCAGCAAAATATTTCACACGAAACGCTACATGTTCCTCAGCTATAAAAAATATATAGCAGTGTAAGTGATTTAACTTTTATCGTGTTGGATCAGAACCTCTGTTCTTATAAAGCAATAAAGTCTTCATTTATTTCAGAGCACTGCAAGTTTCCACGATGAAAAAGACTATACTGCAGATTTTATTCTGTTAAGAATTTCACATGAGTTCAAAATATCTTTTCCAAAAATTTCAGGCATCAATCCTAATTTTGTGTGTAGAATAAAACAGTAGTTGCTACACTTCAGGTACAACAATGGCAGTTTCTGCATAAAAACTTGCGTTGCATGAAAAGCCCCATTACAAATAAATTAGTATAGGGTTTTTTAACCTTTGCTTGGGGTTTTTTTGTTTATTTTTTATTGCAGTCAAATGCAACCAGTGCACTGCTTGAAATTGATTAAGAAGGAGCATTCCTGACACAGTGTCCTGTCTGTTGGTTCCTGAAGGATGCTACACGAATCAAACTGTATTGGGTCCAAGCTGCAGGGTATGAAATATCTACTGGACAGTGTAGCCTGACAGATGAACAGTGTTGTTACATCAAAGAGATCTAGAATAAGGTGGAATCCAAAGCAGTGTCTGGCAGATTTGCTTTGCAATGATTTACTAAGACATAAATAGATCTTTAATTACATGTTTTAAATGCATAACATCATCCCTGAAAAAATACATGTGACGATAAAAAAAGTTGTTACAAAGATTGATATAGTTGACAAGGGTATTCAATTTAGTTGACAGCTAACCTGAGGCAACATTTTACAAGAGATCATTGATTCTGATCAGTTTTCTGGCGTTTCTATACAGTCACCATTGAATTATAGTTTGAAAAATGCTGGCTTATGGAGACATTCAACAGTCTCATAAAATGAAATTGCTGTATGCAATGAAGTTTCCAAAGAAAATGAATCAAAATTCTGATTAACAAAGACAGAGAAGTCTGTGGAACTTTGGTTTAGTTCTAAATTGTGAATGACATAAACACCAGCATGGCGATGATAAAAAGCTTTAAAGGATTTTCCTCTTTTGGCTTGTCAAATTATGATGCTTCTATATCTAGATTTTATAATTCATTTTAGTACAAGAGCTCCCCATATAAACTGAGTTGATCAGCAGTAAACATTTCCCCCTGCTATAATCAGCAAGCTGCTTTTGGTAGCACACTGAGGCAATGGAAATTGAGTTGACCATTTTTTTTTGCTCTGTTTTATTGTATTCAGACAATATAATTAGTTCAGAAACCCGAAGTGGAATTACAGAGAAAAGCACAATCTGGTTTGATTAGCACTGTTAGGGTCAAACTTTTAGCATCTGATAGTTCAAGACTAAGGAGGAAAACATTATCATTAAAATGGCATGAGTTGAGCCAGGACACTCATTCAGCAGCCATCTGCTGCAAAATAATCATCGCCTTTTCAAAGCTATTCGACAAAGATATTTTCCACTCCCACGTTACTTTAACAACACCTGCATTAGTGTACAAACACACACACAAAACACATATTCTGACAAAATAAAATATTTTTCCTCTCTCAATCCTTCCTCTTTTTCCTCAGTCAAACCAGTTGTTCACGCTTGACTTTCCCCTTATTAGTGGGTCTGGGAGTATTACTTATTGATTCCCAGTTTTACCTGCTGAAAGGCCACCATGAGACTGAAACTAAAATCTAAATTCCCAAATTGGTTGTAAACTATTTAACTTAAGTATTTAACAACAGCATCAGCTGCAGAAGCATCAGCTGCAGAAGTATGAGCTTAGCATGGACTACAAAAATACACTTTTAATTTACATAGGTCCTCAAGATACCTGAGCCACTCAGATAACAAGGGAACTAAAGGAACATAAAATGGCAACAAGGAATGGAACAATTTCCATACCAGGAATTAGTAAATAGGCTAAAACTTTTCAGCATCAAAGAAAGATGACAGGTGGTTGAAAGGTGTTTTTAACAAGCTCAGAATCATGACTAAGCAGTGTAACTAAGAAAGAATTCTTCACTCTCCTATGTTTCTCATGCAAGAGCAGGGAACATCAAATTAAATTATAGGAAACACAATGCCAAATCAGTAAGATGAAGTAATTTTCCTTACAGTACCTAGGGAAACTGCACACTCATCAACATGGAATGTGCTGGATGCCAGAACTTGACATGAGTTGAATAGGAGACTAGAAAAATTCATGATAGGGATGCACTAAAAGCACCTCTAGCTTAGGAAGCCTCTAAGAAAGAAATTGCTGGAGGTGATTGAGCAATGTGGAAAAGTAACTGCATGTGCTTATCTTGTTCTTGTACTTTTTCCTCCTGGTTGCTGTCACAGAGAGAATAGTGTGCTAGATAGGTCCTTGATCTGACCTTAGGGTTGTTTTGATATAAATATCACAAAGAGGAGGTCAGCCTGGGCAAGTCACCCAAAAGGTTCCTCAGTTCTCAGAACAGTTTTGCAGCCTGTGATAAAGTTCCACAGCCATACTGCCAGCAGTACAAAAATAGATTATGTAAATTTACTTCAGATAGGTGTCTACACAAGCCACAGTCATGGAATAAAGTGTAGCCAGATCTATACTGATGAGGAAGACTCCTAGATGCTTCCCTGGTGCTCTTTCTGGCCTTGCAAAGGGAATGGAAATAGATTTAGTTGCCCAAAGTCTGAAAATTCTCATAAATATCAAGGAGAGCTGCCACTTGGGGCAGAGCAAATTTTCAATATTCCCTTCTGCCCATTTCTGGGAGATCCTGGTTCAGAGGCTTGAATGGGGACAAGAAGAGATGTTGCTGAAACACAAAGCCTTGTAGCCATACAGATAAGCCTAAACTGGGCTGGTCGCAAAAGGGTCCCTAGAGGGGCTAACACAATGTTTTTTTGAAGCTTGACCCATGAAATCCTTTTTTTATGAAGGATAAAAAAGAAAGTACATTATCAGTGGACTTCTATTTGGGAAAAAAATTCAAAAAAAAAAAATCTGTGTTTTCATTTAAAAGCCCTAGGAGTTAGCTTGTCTACAAATTAACAAAACCAAACCTAGAAACCACTGTTTTAACTTACAGCAGGTCCAGAATGACCAGCTCATCAAATCCCACTCTTCCCAAATCCAATTTACCAACTCTTCTTTCCCCCAGTCAAAATTGCTGAACGCAACCTCAGGAAATCAAGAACATGGCCTTATATCCTAAACTATGATGAATAAGAAAAGCATCTAATCACCCATATGCTTTTTTTCCACTAATCAAAGAGTATATTTCCTGGAGAATGTTGTGCTATATATATACATCCAAAAATTACAGCTCCCAGAAGGTTTACTGGTGGAAATATAATGTGCATAGTTTGTGTATGTACTAGTTTGATCAAAAAATTACTTCAAAATTACATTATTGGATAACAAAAAAGTAGTAAAGAGAACACTGGCACTTAATGTCTGCAAGAAACTGCATCTTTAGAATATATGCCATAAATTCCCAAAGAGGGAATAATTTGCTACTGTGCTGTTTGCCCCTCTGCTTTGGTTTGCATTCATTTGCAGACAGATATAGTTCTACTTTCCCTAAGAGAACAGAATCATTATATTGTTTTGGTTGGAATAGGCCCCATCTAGACAAGAAAACTTGGTTATGCCAGTATGATTGCTGAAGCACAGGATCCAGATCCAGGTTATTCCTCTTACAGCCTTAGACACAAGCACAGTTTACAAACAGAACTAAGCTTGAACAACATTGGAAAAAAACCACTTTGAAAAACACTGAAAAATAAACAAAAATTGAAATGAATTTATCAAAACGAACACATCACAATTTAAGATAATCTTATATCACACAATGTATTTAATTATTTCATCTATTAAGTAGCAGACAAAGACAATACATAGGAATGAAAAAATGTTATTAATTTTGAAATACTCATGGGTTTTTTTACAAAAAAAGCTAAAATCAAATGCAAATACACGGTCACATGCAAAATATTAATTCCTTCTACAATTATTCAGAATCTCAGCATTGCTGAACAG